AAAGGGTAAAAATTTAGTTGATGTTCAACAAATAAAAAAACAGAAATAATACAAATGATAAAGCTTGGGTTGCTGAATATTCGATCCCTTACTTCAAAAGCACTTTTTGTTAATATGATTACAGACTACAACCTAGATGGATGATTACAGACTACAACCTGTGTATGACAGAAACCTGGCTAAAACCAAACAATTACATTATTTTAAATGAGTGCACCCTGCAAGATTACTGCAATAAACATGAACCCTTGTCTGAAAGGCAAAGGGGGAGGTGTTGCTGTAATTTATAGTAATATTTTCAAAACCACTAAGAAGTCTAGTTAAAAATATAATTATTTTGAAGTGTTGGTGCTTAATGTAACAATATATAGTGCAAATGATAAATCACGTTTAAGATTTGTGCTGGCTACTGTTTACAGGCCACCAGGGCAACATACAGACTTTATCAAATAATTTGCTGACTTTCTATCAGAGTTAGTACTGGCTGCAGATAAAGCCCTAATTGTTGGTGATTTTAATATACATGTAGATAATGAAAAAGATGTATTGGGATTGGCATTTAAAGACATTCTTAACTCTATTGGAGTTAGACAACACGTGTCAGGACCTACTCATTGTCGTAATCATACTCTAGACCTAATATTATCGCATGGTATCAATGTTGATACCGTTGAAATTCTGAGGCAGAGCGATGACATCTCAGATCATTATCTAGTCTCATGTAAATTACATTTAGCCAAGGCTGCAAAGCCGACTCCGTGTTATGAATATGTTAGACCTATCACTTCTGCCACAAAAGAATGCTTTATTAATAATCTTCCTGATCAGTGTCATCTCAGCATTCCAGATAGCTCAGAAGAACATTTACATTACAAGAACTCGATATTGCGACAGAAACTTTTAACTCTCTCTTTTCTAGCACTTTAGACACAGTTGCTCCGTTGCACTTAAAGAAGATTAAAGAAAATAGTCCAACGCCGTGGTACAGCGAGCACACCCAGGCCCTAAAGAGAGCAGCCAGAAAAATGGAGCGCAACTGGAAGAAAACAAAACTAGAGGTCTTTCGCATTTCATGGAAGGAGAGCTCGATTGCATACAGAGAGGCCTTAAAAGCTGCTAGATCTGCTTATTTTTCAACCCTATTAGAAGAAAATAAACAAAACCCAAGGTACTTATTCAAAACAGCAGTAATGACTTTATGACCTTCTTCACTTATAAGATTGATAATATCAGGGAGAAAATTATAACTATGCAACCGTCTACAACAGTATCGCATCAGACAGTGCATTGTAGTCGCCCTGATGAAAATTTTGATTCATTTATTGCCATAGGAGAGGAAGAATTTTCTAAACTCGTTAAATCATCTAAATCGACAACATGTATGTTAGACCCTATACCAACTAAACTATTGAAAGAGATGCTTCCAGAGGTCATAGATCCTCTTCTTAATATCATTAATTCATCTTTGTCATTAGGATACGTACCAAAAACTTTTAAGCTGGCTATGATTAAACCGCTTGTAAAAAAAAAAGCAACTTGATCCATCAGAATTAGTCAATCACAGGCCGATCTCGAATCTACCTTTTCTGTCAAAGATACTAGAAAAGTTATAAGGCACACCTCTCACCTGATTCACAGCACTAAAGCTGTTGGTTGCATTGTAAATAAAACACAAGCAACAGGTAGCACGCATGAACTCATGCATACACATATACATATAAAATACATATGAGAAATAGGTAGTCACAAGAAAAACAATATTACAGAATCACAGAAAAGGTCTATAGTCTATCTCCTCATTTAATCCTGGATAATCCATTGCTTTAAAACTCCATATCCAAAAAGTTTCACGTTGCAATAACCGTTTTAAAATGTCACCTCCACGTATTGATTTTTTAATAATTTCAATGCCCTGAATTCTCAAAGATGATGGATCACTATGATGTACTTCTTTATAGTGTTTGGCCATAGGGTAATCTTCGTTGTTGACTCGGATTGCGTATTTGTGTTCATAAAACCGCTCTTTTAGTTTTCTTTTAGTTCTACCCACATAGAAACACCCACATGGGCATTGTAGGCGGTAGACGACATATTCAGAGTTACAGTTAATAAAACCATTCGTCTTGAATTCTCTCTGCGTTCTCAAATCACAAAAAATCTTACTCTGAATGACACCCTCACAATGGCTGCAAGAACCACACCTATATGTCCCCCACAATCCTTTTTCTAACCATGTTTTTTGTTTAGGACCTGGAAGGTAGCTTCTTACAAGTTTGTCCCTTATGGATGGTGCCTTCCTAAACACAGTCATAGGCGGCTCTGGAAAGACGTTTTTCAGAATCGGATCACTTCGAATTAACCCCCAATTGGACATAATTATTTGTTTCATTTCAAAAGCACTACTACTATATTGAGTAACAAAGACAGGTCTGGAGTTGTTTTTAACCATGTCTTTCCTCCTCTTTTTCTTTTTTAGTAGTAGATCAGAGCGTGTTATGGAGCGTGCTTTTACTATTGCTTTCTCTATTGTCATTGGTGAGTAGCCCCTAGCCCTGAATCTTAATGACATATCTTGAACCTGCATTTCGAAATCAGAATCTTTGTTACAGATGCGTCTAAGACGCTGAAATTGTCCAAATGGAATGTTATCTTTCAGGCTGCTTGGGTGGAAGCTGTCAGCCCTCAATAAAGTATTTCTCTCTGTGCTTTTCCTATATATTGTTGTGTACAAGAAATTATCATCGTCTATGGAGATAGTCAAATCCAAAAAATGTATAGATATTTTTTAATATTCAATTGATAATTTTATATTTGGGTTAGTTGTATTGATGTACTCATGAAACTGCAAAAGTTCTTCCTCATTCCCCGACCAAACAAAGAGAATATCATCGATAAAGCGTCCCCAAAATATTATCCTATCACAGAATTTGTTACTAGATCGATCATATATGTATTGCTCTTCCCAGTGACCTAAAAATAAATTGGCATAATTAGGAGCAAAACATGCACCCATCGCTGTGCCCTTAAGTTGTCTAAAAAAAAATTTTTGGAAGAGGAACACATTATTGTGTAAAATCCATTCTGTGAGAGAAAGTAAAAAATGGTTGGGGGGTGACGTTTCCGACCTATGTACCAAATAATGTTGTAAGGCTGATAGGCCTTCTTGATGTTCAATGTTGGTGTACAGAGAGGCTACATCTAAAGTCACCAAATAACAATTTTTTACATCTGTGATATTCATAAGTTTATTTAACACATCAGTAGTGTCTTCAATGAAAGACGGGAGATCCCGCACTAAGGGTTTTATAAAAAAGTCCACAAATTGGGAGCAGGGCTCTGTCAAAGATCCATTGCCTGAGATAATGGGTCTACCCTCAGGTTGTTCTAAATTCTTATGGATCTTAGGTAACATGTAGAAACACGGCATTTGGGGATTCTCATTCATTAGAAACGCAAATTCATTGTCTGAGATCCATTCTTGGTCTCTACCATAAGATAAAATGTCCCTCAGTTCGTTTTTCATTTTCATAATTGGATTTCTCTGCAATTGTTCATAATAAATATTATTTCCTAGTTGTCTCTGAGCTTCAATAATATATGAACATTTATCCATCACTACAACAGCACCCCCTTTGTCAGCAGGTTTTATTATTATCTGCTCATTCTTTGTTAGAGAATTCAGTGCATCTCTTTCACGTTTTGAGAGATTGTGTTTCATTCTGTTCTGTCTTTTGTTAAACATTATCTATATCATGAGAAACCTTTTTGGTAAAAGCAATCAAAGTGGGATTAGAACTCATAGGCATAAAGTTTGACTTAGGCTTAAACTGTCTCCTAACATCATGAGTGGTGTCAAAATTCAATTCAGGTGTGCTATTCATGGATTTAATCGACTGATGGTACCACACTTTCAAATGAAGATTTCTATAGAACCTAAAGAGGTCCACCTTAGTTTTAAATGCATTAGTTTCACTTGTAGGAGAAAAAGTCAATCCTTTTGATAGCACATTCACAGAGTCTTGAGTTAATACATTTGAGATGTTAATTACCGTGCATTCTTCCTTTTGAATACCATCTCTTTTTAACAGGTCAGGTCTGCCCCAAAAACTTTTCCAATTGTCTATAAACAAAGTAGTCTTTGTTTTAGAACCAAAAAGATACCCAGAAACAGGATAACTAACTTAACGCAAGTAGAACTGACACTGAACAAAAACAAAGAAATGTGAAAGACAACGTAAACCATTTGTAACTTGCCTAGGAGACTAACTGAAACATAATACAACACCCATAAAAAAAAATAAGTCATTGATTACGGATTCAAAACTGCTTCTTGGTTCTTGCACAGTTATATATTTGTTGCAGGAGTGAGTTTAAAATCTTAAATTAAATAGTTTTTTTGAATATGCATTGTGCAATTTAAGCCAAATAAAATATAGCTTTAGAAAAGCAAAGCATTTAGGGTAACAGGATTGACAATATTACACTTTAACTTCATGTAGTGTTCCTGTAGATTACGCTGGTCATTCCCAGGAAACGCATGAACGGATAGACAACGGAAGACAGTTAATATGAATGCTATTCAAGTCACTTTAGACAATCTGCCACATGCACTAATGTAATGAACGATCTGATGTAAAGTGTTGAGCAAAACAATGTGAAACTACAAGGTTCTGTTTAGAAAAGTCTTTATTGCTGATATTTGACAGTTTCAGCAGAAGTTCAGGAGTCTTCAGAAGAATCACTAATCTACAAGAAAGCATAAAATAGGCTGTAAATGTCCTGATCATCCGGTCAGGCTTTATTTTTGTGATATGACCGACTGACTTTACAGGATTACATTACAAAACTGTTGCATTAGCTTATGATGATCAATAATTAGCCTTTAATTTAATAATCTGATCTTGCTCTTCTTGTCGTCATCCTCCTACACCTGAAAGAATAAACAGATTTAGTTGATGTGCAGTGTGTGTCAGTCTGAGTTTGATTGCGATCACATCACCTTAATCACAGCAGAACATGATCACGTCATTGAGAGCGGTGTCGTCTCCATTGCTTCCCTGTGACTCTTCTACACGGGTCTGTAAGCCGCAGATTCCCGTTCCTTCACATGTTGGACTCCAGTTGCCCCATTCACCCCAGTCTGTGCTCATACCTTCAATCCAGCCAGAATTCACGTCACGTGTACCGTATATGAACCTAAAAAAAAAAAAAAAGCCACATATGACAATATTGTGATAAATATGTAATTGTGCTGTCAGATTGACTGTCAGTCACATGATCTCCTGCAGCCGAATCACTGCAATCTGGAACAGCAGCACGACTGCGAGTGTGATATTAACTACACTATTGATGGGGAAAACTGAGTCCTTAAAATAAAACCAGGATGGGTAAGAGATGGTGTGAGTGGTATTCACTGGGTAAGAGATGTTATAACTTATAGCACCACACACACACACTCACATGATGTTGTTTGCGGCTGTATCATCTCCAGATCCTTGGGGAGATTCAACTCTCAGATGGAAAGATGTAAAGTATCCAGAAGGAGCAAATCTGAGACCGGTCCACTCACCCCAGCTGAAGAAAACAAAGGTTGCCCGTTTAAGTCAATTAGCATTTTCAAGAAAATCCAATTTACTTATTTAACTTAAACACTTAATGCAAGAATTGTTAATAATCTGAGTCCATTACCCTCCTACACTGGACTCAATGACAGACTGAGGGTTTCCGGCCCGATCAACACAGTAAAGTCGAATCCCATTGAGCGCTGTATCATCACCACCTAAATAAAGTTTGCCTTCCACCTTAAAACAACAAGACAATCTTCCATTTGAAAGAGTAAACTAACCCAACACTTAGTAACATTTATCTTCATGCTCTTTAGTATTACACAGACACTTTAAAATCTTAAGTTCCCTGGAGAAACCTGGAATTAAATGACAAACAGCAACTCCACAGTTGTGAACCGTTGAATCACTCATCCACCCCCATATTAGCAAAATAGAGTCAATGCCCAACTTACCTTCAGACTAAACCCTCCGACGTAACTTCCACTTGGACAAAACTGCTTTTCCCCCCACGATCCCCACGGCCCTCCGTTCGTCACCTTCAGCTCAGATCTGTACGGTCGGTCAGACTCACCGCTCACATGCCCAATAATGGCTAGCAGTGAAAACATCATGGAAAAGAAGTGATGCATTGCTACAGCACTGGCCTGAACACTGACAGTTAGATTAATTTTTAGTTAGACGATAAAGCAGAGACAAGACCATAACACTCTCAAGTTTATTAAGGAAGAAGCCTCATATTTATACACAAGATTAAGCAGAATCATTAACCATGATGTCCTTTCCATCCAATCATAGAACTCAAAGATCAACCCCTACCATATTTGGCATATTAAGAAATTAGGTTTTATTAACAAAGTTCGGGAGGAGCACGTTCAGATAATCAAACCTAATTAAACACATGTGGAGCACATTCAGTTAATCAACCCAATCAATGAGTTAAGAGGTATATACCCAGCAAACAAAACACGTATGTTAAAATACATAGTAATTTGAGTAACGAGGAAAAGATACAGAGGGAGAAAACAATAAGAGAAAATGTAGAAGTAATACAGGATGATAGGGACATTAAAAGTGCCATAAATATGATGTGCGAATTGAATAATGTAATAAGAAAATCAGGAAAAACAACACCAGGGAATGATCAAATAAGTTATTGTATGATAAAAAAAAAATTAATTGATAAGAGTAAAGAAATATTATTACAATTATATAATAAGGCATGGGAAGTGGGGTGTTTGCCAAAACATTTAATTATACAACACTCTTTACAGAAATAAATATAAAAAAACTCTGGTATTTAAATGTGACTCAACAAAGTTTGTTGTCCATGATGAGGAGAATAGATGTGTGTAGATTGCACTGCCCTTCCACCCTCAGGGGCCCAGCATCGACCCAGCAACGACCCAGCAACAACCCAGCATCGGCCCCCGGAAGAGAAAACAAATACACATTTCAAATGGGCAGGACAAATGCTTATGCTATGTTCACTAAATAATGTTGGGCACAGTTTTCAGACATATATGGAAAGCTGGCATATTGTGGGCGGCAGTGGCTCAGTGGTTCATGTTGTCTACAAACCGGGCCGTCGGTGTATGAATGAGTGAGTGAATGGGTGAATGAGAGGCAAAATGTAAAGCGCTTTGGTGGCCATTGGGTCTGTGAAACGCTATATAAATGCAGTCCATTTACCATTTACCAGTCCATTAAGGTTTTTTAAAAGTGCTCACAGTAAAATATCAAATTTCAGCCTGTCCCTCATCGTAAAGGTATGCACAATGAACATATTTAGATATCCAGTTGTCCATTACATATATTATTTATTTAACATTTATTATTTAATTGCTAAACGTTTTAAACTACATTACCCACATATCTCGGTCATTCTATCAATAGAACAGGGAACTGTAGTTCATTGAAATGTGCAGACATGCTTAGGGTTAGGGTTGGGATCTCCATAAAGGAGTAATTTCTCACAAGATAGAGACATTTTATAGTTAACTTAATGTATAACTAACGCAATAATAACACCAAAACATACTTTGTAACATGAGGCGCCGTTTTATATGGGTTAAAAGATAGTCCAATCACAGCAAGTTCTGCGATAAAGTCACAGCCAATGACAACCCAGCTGAACAGATGCGTCACACTTACTTGCCCAGATTTAATATTTGGGCTGTTAAATATGTATTCCTTCTAATTAAATACTAAAACTCACATTTAAAAACTAAAGACTCCTGTGTGTGCTTACCATCCAAAAACAAGTTTACATGATCAATGACACAAATTAGCTTTTTTGATTATAAGACTGATGCATAAATACATTTGAAAGATAAACTTTTTTTTTTTTCTAAGCAATGGCCGACAGCAGGGGTAGTTTTGCAGATAAAGATAATTACATGTACTAAAGTGCTTCTAACATTTACAGTGTATGTATAGTATATCAATGGTATCAATTTTATCACTTCGTTATGCCATTCTCCACCATCTGAACTCTTGGAATTCAAATAAATGTAACAAAAGCATATTGAATGCACACAATTTTTAAAGCATATTCCAATATTTAATGTCAAACTGTTTAAAGACAAATGCAGTGCCAAAACTACTGCACAACAGTTTAAAAATCAGTTATAAAAACATAGCCAGATACAGAGGCAATCTATTAGTTACACACACAGTAACGTTAAAAAAATTGCTATTTTGAAGTAATAATATTTTTTACAAACCAAGAGATGAGATTCAACTTTGTTATGTGAAAATATATTTGTTTCTTCCTCCCTTTAAAAACAAATAGGCAAAAACTTAAGCACAATTTTTTTAATTTAATTAAATTAATTTATTAACTGAAACTAAATGAAAGGAAACTTAAAATAGTTAATGATATAACTTAAAACAGTTAATGATATAAATGTCAGCAAGAAAACGCTTCTATAAAATACATTCACGGGTATATTGCATTTACATTAACCAGGCAGTGATATAATGATACCATAGATGTAGTTATGGTGGATTTTACTATAGTAACCACTGTAATAAAAGGTTTAATGAAGCTAAATGCAATACATTACATTTAACAAAATCCTTAAACACCAAACCGAATTTCATAAATATTGATTGTTTTCAAAAGGTTTTCCTGAACACTCTCACTATCTTCAATTGTTCGGACGAACACCTGCTATATACACTTGCAGAAATATACATTTGACTCTTGCATCATGGAGTCGCTGCATGACTAGAACTAATGGATGGCAATGAATATGTCCTTTAGCAAAACACCTGATGAGCACTGACAAAGGCATTAGGCAGACATCAAGTACACATCCTACACATGCCCAAACAACACCGCCCAAAGACAGTGATGAAGTGGACACCACCAGGAGGATCAGGAGACCGGGAAGACCAAGGAAGACACGGAGACAGATGATTCACGAAGACCTGAAGAATGCCGGTGTCCCATGGGAAGATGTGGAGAACTCGGCCAAGCATCGAATACGTTGGAGGACACTTGTTGCCCATTGTGCCCTGCACAGGACTTGATGATGATGTTGTGAGTTCATCCATAACTGTGGGATATTTTTCCGTAAAGAGGTTGGATAATTAAATGTTAAATGCATTTATGTAATAAGTTCACTGATATGTGGGCATGATCAAAAGTATGTCATTAATAGCAAGCAATAATCATATGAATTTGTTTAAAAATAACACGATTTACATGCAAACGGGACAGTTATCAGCAGTGTAACTGATCTGATCATGACAAAATAACCGAGTATCTGATGTCATGTGACAAGTCAGATGAGCTTTTCCACTCTTGCAAACAGAGGAAGGTCATGAGGTGTGGAGAGACATCATGTATCATTGGAACATGAACAGACAGGGTCCAATTTGAAATAATTTTAAATAATACAATGCAATTAATATAAACTTTCTGACAGTGTGTGGGACATCCGACTACTTTCCAAGAAGGGGCGCAACTGATTTACAAATATGGCGATAAATATGTACAGGAATTGAGGCAGTGGCCAATGACAGCACTAGGAGTAAAAGCTGAAGGATTATGTACGAGCATACAAATATGTACGAGCATCGTATGAATTTGAGAACTTGTTAAATCTTGTGAATTATTAAGACTTTGAGACTATGTTTGTACTGATTGGGCTATGGGTTTTGTAAGAAAATGTTTAAGAAACAACAAATGCTTGATAAAATGTTTGATTACTGGTTAACCAGCACATACATACCATTGTGAATATTTGCCTTTGCAGCTTTTCGTGTCCTCTGTTTACTTCTCCTCAAACACAAGTCCGAAAGGCCCTGTTGGTCTTTTCAGGTGAAAAAAGGAGAAAATAAAATATCATTATGTATAATATATAGGATTAGTTAAAGGAAAAATGACAGATTTACCTTAAAATTTTTGGATTCTAAATTATTAGGCATTAAAAGCATGGTAAGTGTTGTGGTTACTATGCATTTACAACAAATATTACTTAAAAACGACCAATACTGTGGTAAAAGCATAGTAAGTTTTGTGGTTACTGTCCTTTTACTATACCTATCACAGTATCACAGTAAAACTAAGGTTACTGTGGTAAAAGCATGGTAAGTGTTGTGGTTACTGTGCAATTACAAAAAATGACACATTAAAACTGCAAATACTGTGGTAAGAGCATGGTAAGTTTTGTTTTTACTGCGCTTCTACCACAAATACCACTTTGGAACTAATTGTACTACTTTGAACCTGATATGAATATGAATATGATTAACTGATTGATGGTCTAGGCCTATAGCACGTCACGTGACAGACAGTGTTTAATCACGTTAGTTTAGTAAGGTGTTTTGAATAAAAAAAACAATGAAACACAAAGCCTCCGTGGAGATGACAGATTTTAATCTGATTAATATTAGAATTATAAAGCAATTTGTCAAATATTTGAGTTTGTATTTTAATAGCATTGTCTTAGTACAGAAAGCCACGTTTTCTTATAACGGTTTTCTATGGGAAGAAAATGCTTAATGTGTTATTAAACGCGTTGCTTTCATATTATGGGCTCATCTGAATTTTTATACATAGTATGGTTTATTAATATGATGTATACTGCGTTTGCTCTTTTAATCTCACTGTCTTAGTACAGTAAGCCACGTTAAGCGTTTTAGAATGTCCCCGTTTTTCTATCAACAGTGGAAACAACTTAAAATACTCATCATTTCTGGTCATAGAAAATAAAAAATACACCATTCGCAACTACTTTTATTTGTGTAAACTCACAATAACAAGAAAACGTTGTGCTTTTGTAAAATAAAAGAAAACAATCAGTCGCGCTCTTTTATGGTCTCCGTGAACTGGATCGCGTCTCAAAAATGAACTGAAACAAAATATAGCCTACGTAGGCTAAAGCTTGAAATGTCCACTTTTAAACGAACAAATTCGAATCGAAAGCAAATAGTCTGATGATATGAATTTCTTATCTAAAGGCGCATCTTACAGCGGAGATGGAGGTATGTTTCCAGTCGATTTAGAAAATAGGCTACTAGTTTATTAATAAACAATTAAAATGCCTCGTTACTTTTTTAGAAACATTTATTAATAATAGCCTAGCCTATAAATCATCTATAGCCTTAGAAATATAGTGTT